AACAATAAAAAATGAGATTGTTCTTCAACTTCAGCCAGTGAAACAGTGTCGAATGTATATGTATGCATATGTGTGTAGGGATATATATAAATATATATATATATATATATATATATTATATATATATATATATTATATATATATATATTATATATGTATAATATATATAATTATATATATATATATTATAATATATATATATATATATATATATATATACACACACACACACATCACACACTACATCATCACACACTCAACATCACACATCACACACACAACATCATATTCAACTACCTCACTCACCCCTCACCCTACTACTATCACCTACTACCTACCCATACCCTACTACCTATCCACCACTACACTACTCACCCTCACTACCTACTCACTATCCATCCTACCCCTACCTCACACCTCTCCTCCACCCCTACTCACTCCATCGCTACTCTACTCACCGACCCACTAACTACCCCTATATCACCCCTCCTCCATCACTACTCTCTACCTTCTTACATATAGATTATGTGGTAGTGTGTGCATACACACACACATACCTTATTAATCCTCACCCACCATCACCACCAAACTCCCACTACCTACCCCCTCATACCCTATCATTATTATTATATTATTAATATAATATATATATTGTGGGTGTATTTTTGTGTGTGTGTTGTTGTGTGATGTGATTTTGTGTGTTGTGTCTTGTGTGGTATTATATACATATTATTATTAATATATATATAATATATATATTATTTAATTATATTATATAATATATATATATATGTATTTTTTATATAGTATATATTATATAAATAATATATAGTATATTTAATATTATATATGTATATGTTATGTATATTATTTATATACATATGTATAATGTATTGCTATATGTATATATTACATAATATATACATATATATGTAAGTATAATATAATATTATATTATTATTGTAACGATATATTACACAGTATAGTATTATATTTGGCTATATTGTAATGTGGATTATATATGTATAAATGTATGTATAGATAGATAGATATAGATATAGATATGTCTGTGTGTGTATTTATATATATATTTGTATGTGTGTCTGTTGTATATCGTTCATGTATATGTTTAATCATTAAATCTCCTCTCTCTCTCTCTCTCTTCTCTCTTCCTCTCTTTCTCTCTCTATTATATATATATATTATATATATAATATATTATATATATATATATATATATATATATATATCATATGTTTGGTTTTGTGTGTGTGTGTGTCATGGTGTGTGTATACCACACACACACACACACACACACCACACACACACACACACACACACACAATCATACATTATACATATATGCATATGTGTTGTATTATATATTGATTATATATATATATATATTATTTATTATATTATATATATTATATATATGAATATATGTATGTTATATATAAAACTAAGTAGAGCTGAGCCTCACTTTCTCTCGCCGGCCTCACCCCCAACACAGCTTCTCGACGACATATGTAGATGATCAGATAAGTTTCTTTGTCTGGGATTTCAGAGTCTGTGAAGAGGGGCGTCCTACGAGTAAGATTTTGCGATATTCCAATGACGATTATTCAAATATGACATGATAATTACTCTAGTCTCATAATTACGTTTTTGTTATATGAATATATTACACATATATAAGCTATTTTCTATTTTTATTTTCCTTTCATTGCTTTTTATCCCTTTTCGCACAATCACTATATCTATCATCATTATTTTCAGCACTATTATAATTACTATCATTTTGACTATCATTTACATATTTCTTCCCTTGTTGCGTCCTAGACCGCCCACTTTTTGTTCAAATTGTTCACTCCTGATACTTATACTTTCAAACTGAACACATGTGTAGATGAGGGTGAACGAAGCTTTATAAGGTAGAAGGGAGAGAGTCTCAGAAACCATTCGTTAAACGCGCTTTGTAAGGCATGTCGGAGATAAACATAAACTGAGACAACATGAATAGCATTATGTTGCTGATGTTGCTGTGTTTCGTGTTGAACTAAAGGAAATATGCAGGTAGAATGAAATATTGTAGACACGTTGTTTATGTTGTTAAGATAATATGAATTACCTGGGTTTTTGGTGTTTTATGTTGAACGAAAGGAAATATTAAGATGAAGTGATACATTATGGAAAGTATATGTTGAAGGTTTCATGCTGTAAGGTATGTTGGAAAAAAAGGATAAATAGGTAAATAGAAACAACATAAATTTAAATGTTTCGGAGTTTGATGTTAACCTTAGTTCATTTTCGTCCGCGACAAATAGGTAGTTGGGTATAGTATAAACAACATATGTGTTTATGTTGAAGAAAGTAAACAGATAAATAAAAACAACATAAACTACATGTCTTCCGGCGTTGATGTTGATAAAATAACAGGTGGATGAAACATAGAAAGTGCCTTGTTAGTCTGTATGAAAATTGCAAATCACTGAAACCGAAAAATGCATGGTTTATTTCAATTTGATATGAGAAAACTGATACGATAATCTAAGATGAATAATAACCCTCTTCTACATTTAGGATAGTATGGTCAACAGATGTTCATGTCGATCGAAATGAGATAATTACAAAGAAAATTGGATTAACTTTTTTGTTCGTCTTCTTGTAATTTTTTGT